ACTCTTTCCTGCCTAGGCAGGGGGTCAGACTTGATGATCTGTTGAGGTCCCTTCCGACCCTAGCATCTATGAAAGCCTAAAAAACAGCTATATCCAACAATTTTCCTTTGCTCCCTGTTTAATTGACAAAGAAGAACTGGGTCAAAATCTTTAATCAAAATTATTTGCTGCAACTCAAAATTATCACAGGAAAATATGTTTTAACAGTATTTTCTGATTACGAAGACAATCTAGAAAAAATATGTAGCTTTGTATAAGTTCAAACTGAGGTAAAGTTTTCCATTTGTTGAACTAAATTCAAACACACCATTTTATGTCAATTCAACATTAATCTGCATCTGTCTCTGGGCACAGATGTCTTATAAGGAGCTTTATACTCTCATTCTTTCCTGTGAGGCAGTGGTTCTCAACCTTTTTAGACTTGAGGCACACCTTGGAAAATGCCACCTTTTATTGCTCACTGTTTTTGGACTTCTGAAAAATAACAGAGCAGTTTTTCTATTGCAAGGAACTCAGAAAGACCATAACTATTGATTTCCATTTTAAATGTCTGGGTTTACCTTGTGAATCATATTTCAAATGTAACAGTACTAATATTGTGTGGCACCCCACAACACCCTTGTAAGAATCTCAAGGCACCCTGACTGAGAATCATTACCATAAGGTCTAGCCACTGATAGAAACTATATCCCACACTGCACTGCAGTCTGACCTCTGACTGATCTGCACAATTAATTCTGGAAGACGTAGTTTGATGAGAGAACCTGGCCAACCGGGAGGAATGCGGACATGAGACACCAATTTACAGAATATTCCTGAAACACTCCTGAGCCCCATGGCTATACACAGTTCATTGTGCAACACACCAACATGGGATGTTTCAGAAATGTTTCACTTCAGTTCTTTCAACCGAATCAGATCTTTTTGTGCACTATTTGCTTAATGAAAAATCTCCAGTGTCTACTTTCTGTCCCAATATGATAAAGGGCAGTGAGGGGCAACAGAATGGGCAGGGGCAGGGCCACCTGTTGGGGCCAGCCATGTAAACACTCCTTTGAAATCCATCATTCATGACGTGCAATTGGCTAGTTTTGAAATAAAAAAAGAAGTGTCAAAATTCTGACATTTCCTGAATGGTAGAAATTTCAGTCTTTGACCAATTTAGCTGAGCTGGGCTCGAATCATATTTGTGCTCATCAAGATGCTTTGGCTTTCTTTAGGCTTTTGCACAAAAATGTACTCTATTTACCGTATGTACTCAAATTGAATTGACCCAGAATTTAAGACAACCTTCCAATAATTAAACTTTATATATGGAAAATGTATCATTTTTAAAATAATTTTCCAGGTATAGAATCTAATTATTGGAGAGCTGTCTTAAATGCAGCCCCCTCCCACTGCTACAGTAGGGAAAATAGTGGCTTGGGGAGTCAGGTGGCCCCCTTATCCCCTGCC